TAGTAGGATTAAACTGAAAGGTAAAATTCCAGAAACATGCAGAAGATAAGTAAGTATTCTTCTGGAGGAAACTGTGGGCGCTCCAGCCTAAAGGCAACAGAAACAGTGGGTGAAGACAACGGTCACCCAAGACAATCTTAAGGCTGATTTCCTCTCTTCCCTCCCCACACTTTTGCTGTGCAGCAAGCAAAATCGCCCATTCTTGGCTAAAGGCATATGTATTCTTGGGTTAGAAGGGCTGATTCCTAGCTAGCTACTGATGACCAAAAAGAACAGGAAGTGCTGCCAGTAGAAGGCCATTACTGACATATCTTTCCTGGCAGTACATTCAAACTTTGTCCCACAAGAGCATTCCCATAGTATTTAACAAGCTTTTTATTGCAAATAACTCCTTTTGACTTAGTGATTGCACTTTTAGGTATGTATCCTAACAGAAATGCTCACACTTACTCATTCACAAAGATGAATCTGACAGTATTGCAGCACCTCTAAATAAACAAATATAAGAAGCCAGCTAAATGTCTACCAGTAGAAAAGCTCAAATAAACTACAGTATTTTCATACTATGGAATATTATATACATGGTAAAAAGAATGAGGTAGATATACATAAAATAGCACTGAATATAGGAAAAAAAGCTAATAACTAATATACTAGGCATAGCATGGCCACATTTATATTTTAAAAATAGTATGTGTTTATAAATGCAAAAGAGGAAACCAGAAGACCATACATCAAGCTATTTATCTCCTCACCACCAGGAGACTTTCTGGGTAGGGAGAAGTAGTAAGAGGAATTTTCACAACATAATTGAGTATTATTTTACAATGACAGTACATTTCTATACATTCGTTAAAATCTAAAAAAAAAAAAAAAAAAAAAAAAAGTTCCAATTTGAATCTTGAGCTGAGAAGAATGTTCCCCACCTAGATAAGAAAATTTTATGAAATTTATGTATAAAAAATTTTAAAGTAATATCCACAGCACTCTATTAACTTCAATATATTATAGATAAGTGAACTATTCTCTAACACAACACACACATACCAAAAGGATACAAACTATATGAACAGATTGTTTTCACTTTGTAAACATATTCAAGTAAAATGTTTTAAAACTATCTTTTTAAAATTTAAATGTCATTCATGCAAATATTTTGTGACAGCTATAAACTAACTGTATTCTCATGGTTTCCTGCAAAGCCAAGAAATATACGTTTGAAATCCTGACTGCTGCTCAAACAATTTGAATTCAGAATACGAAAACACACTCACTCACTGCCTTCCCTCTGTATAACAATGCCAAACCCTACTTCCCTATCAAAAAAAAAAAAAAATCCCCACAAACACTATTCACTTTTCATTCCTACAATGGCCTAAGTGTTTTCCTTCTCTAAGTTCTGTCTTCTCCTATAACGATTCCATTATTTCCCTCGTCACCATATGAACAGCAAAACATATCAAACCTAAAGTTACCCAAAGAGAAGAAAAATTTCTACCATAATCTTGAACAACAAATGTATTTAAATACTGGTTAGTAGAATTTTATATTAATGTTTATACATGTTTATAAACTACATATATTTATACAACAAATGGATATATAAAAATAATACGTGTGTGTGTGTGTGTGTGTGTGTGTGTGTGTGTGTGTGTGTCTCAATACCATGATCCTACCCCAAGAGATACTAATTGGGCATGAGTATTTTAAAAAGCTTCCCAGGTAAATCTAATGCTCATGCAAGATTGAGAACCACTGTGTTAAATTATAAAATCTCTTTCTGTGAAACCCAAGATTGTTTGTAATCAGTGGAGCAGGTTAAAGTTAAGATCAAGATATTGAGCATAGTTGCATATAATATTTTACAAATAGCAGCTTGGAGCTTTTATGCTAGTTTAAAAATGTTACTTTTTGCTCATTTGAGATAAAATATAATTCTGCCTACTACTTGAAAATGCTTTGAAGATATGGCTTTATTTTATGAGTCACCTGTAGTCTAAAACAGTAGTTGGCATCCATACTGCCTACACGCTGGTCACTTAATATGTTGCCCAGGGATCCTTTTGATTTTAAAGTTGTTTGATTAGACCATTCAAAATTGGTGCATACATCTAATATCTAAAAAGTGCTTCAAACAAAAGTTAAGACACATACCATATATACTAAGATTTTACAATTAAGGGTTTCTGCATTTGCAAATACCATGTGCAGATCCGTATTTACCAAAATAAGTTTTAATAGCCTGTTCTTAAGATGTTTTTACTATGTGTGTTTATCAATTACAATCTTAATTACTATAAAATCCCATCCTTCACTGAAAAATCTGAAGTCATCCTCATACTCTAGAAGTACATTTTCAGTATTACACCCCATTAAGAGTTATTCTTTATGGTAACATGTATCATTAAAAAAAAAAAAAAAGAAGAGACTACAGCTTTTATGCAAAGGGTTTTCATCAAAACTAACAACTAATTTACAGGCACTAGACTTTAGAAATTGTATAGATAGGATTTAAATTGCTTCTGCTTGAACACTTGGAATGGGATTATCATTAGAAGAGCAAGAAAATCTTAACTCAGTATGAAAAATTTTAATTAAAGTTCATATAACTTGTGATCAATGTACTTACATTTGATTCAAATTGAAAGATAATACTACATTCTTTTTTAAAATATAATTTTCTTTTTTAAAAACAGCTCCTTTCTAAAATCATACATACATCAAGATGGCAACATTTATTATGTTACTGTAAAATAATCATCTTTCATTTATCAGAACATATTGCCAACAGCAAATTTTTCAGTCATATAGTTTTGTAGAACAAAATGTAAGTTTATACTCATCATCTCATATTAGCCTTGGGAAAACAAATTTGAAAACAAAACCTAAAGTATATTTTGAAGCTAGATATACATTATTTTGGGCTGCCCAGTATACCTCGTCCCATTTCAACAGAACACAAAATGAGAGTCTGACTGTGCGCTGAAAATTAGTAAGTATACAAATAATAAAACTTCACGACAATATTCTAAGGTACTTTGGCAAAAACATTCTACAATAAATGACATATGACAAAACTTAACTTCTTTTTTTATGGTATAAATGTGAAATCATTATTAATATAAACATAAGGGTAGTTAATTTAGAAAATATTTTCTACAGAATATCATTTGAATTTTGAATTATTTTCAAATATGACTTTAAAATTAAGGTTAAAATTAGCAATCTAAAATACTATAATTAGAAGAAAGCAAATTCCTAAAATTAAACAGAAAGTATATCCAGCCCTCATAAGACATGAAATATTTACATAGTAATATGTAAGATATATTTCTTATTGGAATAAATTATGAAAGGTTGAAATTGTTCTTGATGCAAAATGTTATTTTCCAATTCTGGCTTTTAAAATATTACAGTTCTTACATTCTCTTTACATTTTCAAATCATAACAAGATCATTTAACAGATGTAAAAGTATAAATTATTAGAATGTCTTTTTTGCCCTAATATTTAGGAAGAAAAGAGAATTCCAAGGAATAAAACATTCAGTTAAAAATATGTTGCCTCTGCTAGTTTGACCCTCTTTGAAGTCAACCTTTCAAGGTCCAATATCAGATGGAATGCAGTAGTAAAGATTTTATGACACTATACTAAATTTTTATTATTTCGTTGTGAAAAATCATAATAATAAAAAGGATTAAGATCTATTTCCTTTTTCAACATGTTAAGCTTTTAAGCCTTTTTTTTTTGCTTTCATCAATTTCAATATACCATAAATCAGAAGTATTCTTCTTTTAATCCCAACAGTTGACAAAATAATGCATTTTACACTTGAATATGCTCAAGGAAAAAAATTAACATTCTTTATCATTTCCCAACAGAGACAGTTAATACTTTAAGGCCACATTAATAGAATCTCTCTGCCATTGTAGAAAGTTTGATAGCACTCCTATTTCAATGTCTGAATTTTTCTCCTTTTTTTGACAAAGACAAATGATTGCCATCAATCAAGATCCAATCGGGTATACAGAGAGTCAGGCAAATGCATCACTCTTTACTGGTTTTCTTGTTATTTGAGCAGGCTTTGCTCCATATTATTTTATAGAATGATCAAAAAAACCAGCCATAAGATAGATCATTCACACCCACTGTAAAATTAACTTTCATGAATAATGAGTTTTAAACCTCAGATAATGTATATGTTATACCAAGGATATTACTGAGTTCATTCCTGGCTAGAGATTATGTAAATGATACTATATGACCTTTATCATTACAGCAGGACATGCAAAACACATATTATTTCATACATCATTTCAAAGCAAGTCAGTTTCTAAAGGAAAAATCATCATTTATAATCTGCATGGTGAAGTGTTAAAGTTTTGAAAGAAAGAAGTATCTCTGATCATTTCAAGTCCTTCTTTTAACCTGTTACTTCCATTGAACATAAGGCAAAAAAAACTAGTCAAACATACATACTTGATTTCTGTATTTCTTTGTTGAGCTACTGTTAATGTGATTTCATAAACTCATATCATGTTGGCTAATCAACACTAAGTTTTAAATGGATAACAAGTATTAATATACACTTCTATGACATTCCACTCAAAATTTTTGCCATTATTGTTTTTGAGACAGGGTCTCTGTCACCCACATTTGAGCATAGTGGCTTGATGATAGCTCACTGCAGCCTCAAACTCTTGGACTCAAATGATCCTCCTTCCTCATCCCCCAGGAAACTAGGATTACAGGTGAATGTCGCCATAGCCATTTTGGTTTTGTTACTGATTTTTTGTAAAGACCAGGTTGCACTATGTTGCCCAGGCTGGTCTCAAACTCCTAAGCTAAAAAAAATCCTCCTGTCTCAGCCTTGCAAAGTGCTGAGATTATAGGTGTGGTCATCCAGCCTCAAAATGTCAATGTAATGGGTTAAGGAAATAAAGGAAAACATTTTAATACTGTTTCTTTAGAACTACATTTTATCAATCTTGAAATACTAAAAATAAGTATAAACTAAAATGGCCTACCAATTATAAAACAGCTCCTTTTTTAAAAGGTAATCCCAGCCACCTTGGGAGGCCAAAGCGAGACCAGCCTGGCCAACATGGTGAAACCCCATCTCTACTAAAAATATAAAAATTAGTTTGGTGTGGTAGCTCATGCTTTTAGTCCCAGGTACTTGGGATGCTGATACAGGAAGATCACTTGAACCCAGGGGGAGAGGTTGCAGTGAGCCAAGGTCACATCATTGTACTCCAGCCTGGGTGGTATAAATAAAATTTAAAAATATAAAGGTTTATAAAGAAACACATATTGCAAGCTAAGTGCGGTGGCTCATGCCTATATTCCCAGCACTTTGGGAGGCCGAGGTGGCTCGATTACCTGAGGTCAGGAGTTTGAGACCAGTCTGGCCAACATGGTGAAACCCCATCTCTACTAAAAATACAAAAAATTAGCTGGGCATAGTGGTGAGCACCTGTAATCCCAGCTACTCAGGAGGCTGAGGCAGGAGAATCACTTGAACATGGGAGGTGGAGGTTGAAGTAAGCCAAGGTTGTGTCCTTACCCTCCAGCCTGGGCAACAAGAACAGTACTTCATCTCAAAAAAAAAAAAAAAAAAAAGAAAGAAAAAAGAATGAAAGAAAAAAAGAAATACGCATTGCAAACCCAGCTTCCTTCTATTGTAATTCCACCCCATTGTGCTGACAGTTACCCAGAGTCACCCCATGCACAAAGCCTGTGTATCATCTTTGAACCCTCCCTCTGCTTAAGCTTCTTGTAAGTTCCAATTTTTTTTTCCTAAATACTTTTCAATCCATGCCCACTACCACAGTTCTACCATATCTCTTGCCTACTCTACTACTATTATAATACCTTTCTATGGTTTCACTATTGGCAATGTTTTTCTTCTTCAAATCTATAACTGAAAAGAACTACCAGAATGATCTATCGTAAAAAGATCTGTTGACATCAATAGTTTACTCCACAAATTTCAAAAGCACCGCATGCCTTACAGCAGTAATGCCCAAAGGGGATACATAATTCATTTGGATGTTGGAAGATAACTGCAGAGAAAAAAGTCAAAAATTGAGCTTTACTAATATTTAATATATGGTTTAAAAATAAAGACTGGCATCCTTATTCAGTGTAAATGTCAGTAATTATGTCACATGTGATATGCAATTTTCATTTATTAACACATACTGTAGTTTATGTCTAAGTAAACAGGATTACAGAATACACTATTTTTAATAGAGTATTTAGAATACTTTGCAATAAGATAAAAAAGTGACCAGAAATTACCTAATAATGATTGAATAGCATGATAATGCTCAATTATTTTAAAGAGCCAATCATTCCAAATTTGTTAAACTTTTCTGTGGCAGTGCACCGCAACAGGGTCTGAAACAGCTATTTGAAAATAAACACATAAAATATATATCTTTAACATAAAGGTAGCATTTTAACGATGAAAAATCACTACCTTTGAAAAACATTCTATGGAAAGAGATGTTTGGAAATATTTCCATCATTACATGATTTTTGTTGCCTAAAACTATCTTAACCACCTATAAAAACTGTTAAATTTGTACTTTTAATTAAAACAACAAATTAGAAACAGTGTCATAACCTAGTGTGTCAGTGGGCTTTGTATAAACATAATGTTTGTAAAAACATTAAAATATTAATACAAATATTTGAAGATAACCAAGAGTTTTGTACAATTAAATAGTCCTTAAAGTACTTTCTTGAGCTTTATTTTCTTCTTTGATTTATCCTAGAAATAGTGACAATCTTTAACACTTGTACTAAAGGTTTCAAGAGTTTAGACTATTCTTGATCTGTATCTTTAAAAAAAGCAAATGCAGAGGAGATAAGTAATTTAACATTTATGGACTTAATAAAGGGATCTCTAACGAGTAACATAAGTTGCTGCTGCTACTATTACTATTCCTAACATTTTTATTAGTATGTAGTACACAAAAAAAATTGTTTCTTGGAATGAGAGTACACAACATTAGGAGTAATTTCTGAGAAAATCAGAGTGGAAAGCATCTAATTTGAGAATATGGTAAGTTATATAGAAAACATTGATTTATCATTTTGAAGCAAAGCACCAAGACTCTGCATGAATGGCAAATATAAACTCTTTTTGTTTTTTGTTTGTTTGTTTGGTTTTTGAGACAGTGTCTCACTCTGTCGTCAGGTGCCAGGCTGCAGTGGCACGATCTCGGCTCACTGCAAACTCTGCCTCCTGGGTTCAAGCAATTCTCCTGCCTCAGCCTCCTGAGTAGCTGGGACTACAGGTGCGGGCCACCACACCCAACTAATTTTTTGTATTTTTAGTGGAGATGGGGTTTCACCATGTTGGCCAGGATGTCTCGATCTCTTGACCTTGTGATCGACCCTCCTCCGCCTCCCAAAGTGCTGGGATTATAGGTGTGAGCCACCGCGCTCGGCTATAAAATATTTTAAGATGAGAATAAATTGTCTTGAATTCTGATATATATATTACATAATCACATTCTAAAAATGTACCAGCAATGTACTCTTCCAAATGAGAATGTGTATTTCCCAACTGTCATTAACATTGAGTAATACTGGCCTTATTAATCTTTACCAAACTTACAGGTGAGGGATATGAAAGAGAGGACAGTGTTGAATATGAATCCAAGGTTTTAAGTTAGATTTCAATACTGATTCTACTAATAAAAACAGAAAACACTGGAAAGAAAAAAGATTTGCAGAAGAAGATGAATTTAGTTTGGGAGATGTTAAGTTTGAGAGGCCAGAAGTACACCCATGTGGAAAAATAAAAAAGGTTCTGAAAATAAGGATGTGGAACGAAGAAGAGAGGTAAGGATAAGAGTGCTGATTTGAGATTCCTGTATAGAAGTGATGGCTGGGCCAGGCACAGTGGCTCTCACCCATAATCCCAGCACTTTGGGAGGCCGAGGCGGGCAGATCATTTGAAGTGAGGAGTTCCACAACAGACTGGCCAATGTGGTGAAATCCTGTCTTTACTAAAAATACAAAAACTAGCTGGGCATGCTGGCAGGTGCTTGTAATCCCAGCTACTTGGAAGGCTGAGGCAGAGGCTGAGGCGGGAGAATTGCTTGAGCCCAAAGACCGAGGTTGCAGTGAGCAGAGATCACACCACTGCACTCTAGCCTGGGCGACAAAACGAGACCCTGTCAAAAAAAAAGAAAAAGTGATGACTGAAGTGCTAGCAGAGATTAGGATCACAAAAGAACTAATTCAGAAAAAGAAAGGTAACAGCAACAACAGATTTTTTCTGGGACAACAGCAAACTCTAGGGACACAATGCTCATCTTGTTCATCTCTGTTACACTGACAACTGGCAAAGAGCCTTGCTCAGAGTAGGCATTCAATAAAAACTGGTTGAATGCACTAATTAATAATAAGAGACAGAGCCATCAGAACAAAGGGGAACTAGAAACAAACAAGTTAAGTCAAATAAGATTTTTTTTAAAATTAGAGACTATTAGTCTTAGTGCGCCCAGCAGCATTCTTCAGCCACAATGAACTACTTTACATCCCATGGGCTTGTCCTGGCTCTCTCTCACGTGCATCTCTCATGCTGCCCCTTCCCTGCGGCATCCTCCCCGCCAACCACATTTTACACTATCTGCCTGCTACCAAATATCATCCTTCAACTAAGTCTCTGCTTAAATGTCAGCTCCTATAGGTAATTTTTATCTCAGCAAATTATACTTCCTGTATCATAGCAGTTATTCAACTATTTATCATTGCCTGTTTATGTTTTTCCCCCTCCAAGACTATAAGCTCTATGGTTTTTTTGGTTTTTTGTTTTTCTTCTTGAGAAGGAGTCTCACTGTGTTGCACAGGCTGGAGTGCAGTGGTGAGATCTCGGCTCACTGCAACCTCCGCCTCCTGGTTCAAGCAATTCTCCTGCCTCAGCCTCCTAAGTAGCTGGTACTACAGGCACCTGTCACCATGCCCAGCTAATTTCTGTATTTTTGGGAGAGACAGGGTTTCACCATATTGTCCAGGCTGATCTCGAACTGCCTAACCTTGTGATCCGCCTGCCTCAGCCTCCCAAAGTGCTGGGAATACAGGTGTGGGCCACCGCACTCAGCCTATAGTTTTTATACCTAATCATCTTAGCCACTAAATATTAGAGTTTCTTTCTAGGCCATTCCTTTTCTCACCCTGTATTCCCTAATCCTATGATCTCATCCAAAATTTTGGCTATAATTATCCACATGTATGTGAACTCCAAAATTCATATACCCATCTAATATCTCCTTTTGAATTCTAGATCCATATATCTAAATGCTTACTTGCTATATAGTTTAGCAGTTAAGAACATGAAATCAATGCAGTATCTTTAAGTTTTGGGTTGACCATTTATTAGCTATGTCATTAGCTGTGTGAACAAGATATTTAACATCTCTGTACTTCAACTGCCTTACCTATCAAATGAGAATAACAATAAAAAGAGAACCCAGTTCTTAAGGTTGTTGGGAAGATTATATAAAATGACATTTAAAGTGCTTATAATAGTGCTTTGCATATAAGAAATACTTATTGAGTGCTAAATATTACAATAATGTTAATTCAGTGAAGGCAGTGACTTTCATTCCTTTTGTTCACTGCCTTATTCCCAAATCTTTAGACAGTGGCTGAGACAATACTGAATAATTTTTGAGTAAATGAATGAATAAATTCATCTCAATTTCCATACAGTCAAAACCAAATTAATGACCTTCTCCACAATGAGTCCCATTCAATGTGAAAGGCACTGTAGTTCATCCAGTTGTATAAGTCTACACAATCTATGTTCTATACCCTGTAGTCAGGGGGTTTTCAGAGCATAACAGTCATCATGTTTCCCATCTCTTCTATCATAAAATCTTATATGGCTCCTTATTACTCTTTAGAAAAGCACCCAAAATGGCCATAAGGCCTCTGTGTAATCTATTATGAGTATCTCCACAGTATACCCACCCGCTCAGTATCCACATTCC